TTTGGGGAGCTGTAGTGAAAGGTCTTGAGAGTAGTTACATCCAAGCTCCAGCCTGTCTCGTACAACTTCATATCTTGCATGAATTCATGTATATGACAGCTTCTCATAAATTCTTATAAGGCATTCGATAGGCTAACACACTGCAAACAGCCATGCATTTCTACTTCATGAACAAGGCTTGGGTTCATGCATTCTTCCTCTCTTTTCCTCTTAACTCCTGCAAGGAGGCTGGAAGTTTCCACTTCCATACACTCATGTCCCCATTTACATCAAAGAAATCACAGAACAGTAAGGTGTTAAAACAAGCCCGGCTTTCAAACCACATTTTCATTCTGATTTATTCTAATAAACCAACCACAGTTTCCTAAATCTGGATTTACCAGGGAATCTGCAGCTTACATGGTTTGAGGTAGCAGGATCTACTGTCTAATATTAGCAGGAGAGTGCCAATTGTATAAAGTCTAACATAGTAAAATGAACAGTCACAAAGCAAGCCATGGACAAAAAGTGTTAACTATATACACAGAGAGACGTCTACTTGGGACTCTTGACCACAGCACTCAAATGGAACCTCCCCATCCAGTGACACTAAAACAAACAGATACATGGGGGAGGACAGCAATTATCACAGGCACCATGCTTATCAGGAACATTTCTATTCTGATCTTCCAGAAAGTTTGAATTCAGTCCACAATAGTTAGAACACATGAGTGTATGATTTGGGAAGCCAGGACATATATGTCTGTTAAGGAGAATGGGACACAGTGTGGGTATTTCCAGACTGTTATTCCCTTCAGCCCTATCTTAACACAGCCAGTGGTATACAGAGCTACAGTCTAATAACAGCTAAAGACTGCATTTTGCCTACCTCTGTCATAGGTGGAAGTGGAGAAAAAGGTCTATCACAGAAGACAGATCAAACTTCCAGATATGACAGCTAAGTGAAATGCTACAGAGGGAAAAAACAAACATGCCATGCTCTTACTTTCTCACTAGCCAATGTTGGATCCAGGATGCTGAGCTTGATAGACATACTCGCCCCAATCATGTAATCTGTACGTTTCTTAATACCTGAGGATGTAGAGAGAGCGGCGTTCCAGCAGCAGATCCAGACAGTCCTGAGGATTCTGTTCATGAACCAAACGCATCACACTTGACGACAGTAGGGAAAGGCCTGCAATGGTGCAGCCGCAGAACTAGAAAATGGAAATGGAAAAAACTTACTGAGAAAAGAATGACAAAGAACAATGGTCCTAAAACGGGGACATGAAGTATACTGAGACTCATCTGGGAAATGGAAGAAGCAAATGTTCAAATATGGGAATGTCAAAGAAAAGGTTGGACAAAAACACACATGTGCTAATACAGTACAGCCCCCACATTCATGGGACATTCCAAAGTTCACATGGTTATGCAAAACTAAATAATAGCAAACCCTATTGNTGAAATTAAGGACTTCTGGTCCAAAAATACCATAGAATCATTCTGGAGGACCTAAAAATGTCCAGAGAGGTCAAAAATAAAACCATGGATACTGGTTCCATGGACATGGGGGTCATAAAGTAATCTGTTTGCAGGGGGAAATTTTGTACTAATAAAGTTTTATCTGCACTCTGAAACAGCAAAGTTCACACACACACATCAGAAACTAGATCTAATCTGGAAGGGCTCAGGGTATTTTGTTTATTAATAAATAGCAATGAAAAGGCAGTTAGACTTCTTGAGAATGGCATCCTGATCTCTGGGCATCTGTGAAGGAAATTAGTGAAGTCTTTTATCTATACCACAGCCTCAAGATTGCAAAACTGATTCCTAATGTAAACATCTCCTCAGGAGAAAAAGACCCAACTTATCCCTCACTTGACATTCAAGTCAAAAGGAGAGCAAGAAAATCAACAATAGACAATAGTGTCATCCCATTGTTATCCTGCAGGATCAGTAAAACACTGCCTCCTATTATATTTTTTTCTTTCTTTTGCATTTCAAAGCTACATGTCTTTTAAAATAAAATACACTTTTTCTCATGTGAATTACCCAAACAACAAAATAATTGTTGTGCAAAAACTGTAGAGTGTTTATGACATTTCCATCCTCATATCATCTCCATT